AGAGAGAGAGAGAGAGAGAGAGAGAGAGAGAGAGAGAGAGAGAGAGAGAGAGAGAGAGAGAGAGAGAGAGAGAGAGAGGGAGAGAGAGAGAGAACCAAGAAGGCCAGGCAAGGCACGTAGAAAAGAGAGAACAGGGAAAAGACCTCAAAAAGCATAGACAACCACGCAACTCATGATGCACTCAAAATGTCGGCTCACAGACCAAGTATCGATCTTAAAATCTTCAAAGAATCACAACACCACGCGTCGCCCCGACGTGTTTCGTCGCCAGCGTGAGAGGCGAACTCATCAGGGGGCTTGCTACCATACATCCGCTGACCTACGAGCACCAAGTGTGGTAAGACGGAGTCACGTCAAGCCTTAAATACTGGCTACCCTCACTCGTCTATACTTCTCTCTCTCAGAACTTCTTCCACTACTTCTAAATCATGCGGCAGTTGCCACGAGCTACTGGAACTACTCACCCGATTCCTTAAACCAAACGTCTACCGAAGCCGCCTACCTAAGTACGGACCTGTCGCGTCTCTGNCAAACGTCTACCGAAGCCGCCTACCTAAGTACGGACCTGTCGCGTCTCTGCTCCAAGCGCTCTATATTACTTGATACAAGTGCTCAGTTACTTATCATAGACATAACTGTCCTCCTTCTCTAAACATCCCGCCTGACTATACCAAAAAAACTCCCGGCGAGAACACAGTATTTGGAGATAAACTAAACTAAGAGTCCTTCATTAACCCAAAAACGAAACATGACTAAAATACAGTGCGTCGAATGACATACCCGGGCGGCAAGGAACTCAGTATGTTATCACTTCATCTTCTCGTAACTACTACCAACATCCTACTACTTCGATCACCGCGTGAGATAGTACACCTCCCGGCGAAAACCCAGCATTCGGCGAAGGGCGAAACAAGGAGCATGCATTGAAAACTGAGACTCGAAAAAGGAAGCACAGGGTCGATCGAAGCTTTTGCACACACCAAACATGCTAAGGCCGGGCTGGAACTCCGACCCATCGGTATCCCGAACTGCTGCTTCAAAATTTCTCCAGCGCTCTGCACATAGGTATTCTCAAGTTCGTACTCCACTCCTCTCTCGATCAAGCCGAATGTCAGGAGAACGAAACCCTCTTGCTTCCTCCTAACTCTAGCCATGGTACAGATCTTCCCTTGCCTACTCACATGTACACCCAGCATCCCTCTGTTCACATGGTACTCGATTATCCACCTGACTGCATCGAGCACCGCCTGATGCGACAACCTCGCGAACATGTCTTTGATATCATAGCTCCTGGCCAATGCGTCCCCCTCCTTCTTCCTGAGATAGCTTTGTATCTTCTCACATTTCTCGCGCAGGGCATCCATAGACTTGAGATCGAAGTGACGATCCTCATTCAGTCCAAGCAGCATGTACCTAATCGCGCGTTCCACCCTAGCACCTGCTAGTCTAGCAGGATCGTGAACTGCTGGAGAGATTGGTCTCCATCTCTCCAAGTCTTTGTCTTTAGGTAACACATAGGCCTGTCCGATCTTTCCACCCTTCCCCCACATCGCAGTTACTTCAAGGCCCTTCCGCCTGTACTCAGTCTTCATCTCTGCCAAAATCTCGGATTCTGATACCTGGACAGGTACGAAACTGTGGTTCCAATGGAATGTCAATCTGTATGCATGCAAATACAGCACGGGGCATACCACCAATGTCGCTCCCGGATTGCGATCAATCGGTACTCTGACCAATCCTTCCAGAGTGCCGATCCATCGAGAAGCCTCTCGACATGTCATGACCAGAACACCTTCGGAGTTTCTTCTGGTTAAACACCGGAGCAGATCCACTCGATCTACCTTCAGAACTTGCCCACCATTCCACGTCTTCATGGCTACTGCATTACTCCAGATGTTTGATCGACAGCTCGTGGCCGGCCGTGATGTTCTTAAAATTCTTCAAAAATGGAGGAAAACCCGGAGCCTCGTCTAATCTTGCCTTAACATGGCCACCGGATCGTGGTAATTCATACGCCGAGCACGCACAAACACACGAGCTCTCCCCAGCATACTTCCACTGGTTGTGCAGCAATGATGCAACTGATACATTCCTCCTAAACACAACCTGCACTCTCCGTGCCACGAAAGCAGCGAGGTGTGGATCAGCAATGGTCCTACGTATCATGGACGAGGTAAGAATCCTGACTTCGCGACTACTGACGTTCAATGAAAAGGGTAATTTCACATACGACCTCCTCCTCACCTGGATCTTAAGCCGAGCTCGAATGACCTTTGCCAACGTATTTTTCAGCGCGTTCCTGGTCTTCAGCTGCCCGAACAAGCCAGCTGTCCTATATAGTGCCAGTAGCTCGGCTGATTTCTTCTGATAGATTTCTCTGATCCTCCAAGGAAACCGCAGCAGATCCCGAAGCACGTAGCGCCTATGTTCAACGCTAGAAGAGAGCACCTGTATGCGTACCACCTCAAAGGTCCCACCTTTCTCCAAAATTGGTCTCACATCCTTGATTTTTATGTTCGTCCCATCTACTATGATAACGCTCTCTCCCACTTTGAACCTCACTATCTTCCACCTGTCCACCCATCCTTCCCCACCACTAGATACCAGATCCTGTCCTGGGATCAGATCCCTTACTGGGTCTATAATTGATAGCTTCCCATTGAATGTAATCATTTTTTCCTGGCGCGCAAAATCTCCCTCTCCTCCCTCTTTCCCTCTTCCCACACCTTCTCTTCTTCCTACCCGACACTCCCCTCCCCTGTGTGTTCAGAGCGGGACAGTATTTATGAATTAAGATCTTCTCCAGTCCCATCGGATCCGTGGTGCTCCCTGCTACCGGAACTACGGGATACTTCTCCCAACCAAAGGTTCTCAGCCATGCGTGTAATTTGGGCGCATTGCCAAGGTCCCCTTCCACAACTCGTTTGATATGCTCCACCCATCTCACGTACACCCTCCTGGTCGTACACCCGACATATGAGTGGCGACACCACGGACTAACTAGAACATACACGCCTGTGCTTCTTACCGACAGATTCCCTGCTTCACTATCTATCATGCCAATCCATTTCCTCGCCCATTGGAAGCTTCCCTCGATAACTGCCAACAAAAACAGCCTAAGTATTACATCTTCGCCATCCAGATCCAGAGGTTGATGACGTCCGTTATACTCCTCCCTTCTCCTTCTCATCAACTTCTTAAGTGTTAGAGAATAATCCATGGTATCTGACCTACCTTCCTGCCAAAGGTGACAAATGTGCCGCTTCTTCTTCGTAGGCTAGTCTCATTCGGCACTTCACTAGTTCCCCGATAGCGGTCTCACGCTTAGTCCACTGGATGCCTTCCGAGTTGCACAAATCTCTTAATTCAGGAACTTTCTTCGACGAAAACTTGCGATGCAGCTCCAGGGCAAAGTCCAGAATCTCCCCTGCTCCGCGGTTATGGCTGGGCGGGGTCCGTACATCATCATCACGTTCCTCCACGACGATTGGAGAGGGCTGGGTACGTCTCCTAGGCACCCTCGACATCCTCATCTCATGCTCCTCCTTCCTCTTCTTACCTTTCCTTTTCTCGATCGCCTCAATCAACCTCCCAGCTTCCTGCTTTACTTCCTCGCTTTCATCGTCAGATTCCTCCAAATAGCTCGTAATTTCTTTCAGCATACGTGCTTTAGTGGTAGGAGATTTCTTCTTAACCTGCACGGATGGTCCGCTCGTCGTCTTCGTGTGCTGCGATAACAACCTGATCAATCTAGCTTCTAGACGAGCTTCCCTCGTGTCGGCTTCCCTCAGCCTATCCGTTTCCTTCCTGTCATCTTCTTCTCTCCTCCTCCTATCCTCCAGTTCCTTCTCCCGCCTCTCCTCTTCTAACTTTTGTTTCCGAATCTTCTTACGAAAATACTCTCTCATCTCACCGGTTTCTTCTTCGTTCTGTCCCTGCGTAGTAGTCGCGGCGGGAGGGGGGCCCTGTGGTCTCCTGCCCCCCGCACTCCAACAGTTTCTTGCGTAGTCGCCGTTCTTTCCGCAAATGTAACATGTCACCGCTCCTGGTTGATTAGTAGGTGGGACAACCGCTCCGTACACTGGCGGAGGTACCACTCCAAAGGGCACTTGACTAGCCGTCTGACCTCGTTACTTCTCTCTCCTTTTCCTTCTCCTCCTATCTCTTATGATACACCCTATATTTTATACTCTCCCCAGAATATTCTCAAATTCCACGTACACTTCTTCCTTCGAAACTGACCCTGGAAGTTCTAATGCTACTAAAACTAATGGTGTCAACTGATACTCAATTAATTTCTGAAAATCCAACCACTGTCTTTCTAATTCCGTATCCCTAAAATTCCTACCCGGCATCCCCGACTCGCTACGTTCTGAGAGAAATAAATTTCCGAGCTTCGAAATGCCAAATCCTTCCGTCCAATCTACCACTCACCACTTGGATCAACGCGCATCCACATAAAAGAGTTGTTACCAACGCGCTGGCTGCCTTAAACCACTTAACACGCGTTGTCTTCCAGCCTCTCATTACTGGTGGTGCGCAGACGATCACGCTCGCTCCACTGAATCGTTGCCTGCCCAACTTACACACTCCTACCAAGATCATACGCCATGCATATCTTCATGCTCCAGATCTCTACGGCGGAACCGCAAGAGTGAGATGGCGATCTGCTCATCAAAACGGAAATTCTTCGTAGGAAGCGCGACGCCCTCACCAAAGGAGGGAGAAAGCCGGAGGGTGCACAACAATGCACCTCACGTAGCCACCGTACCAATGTCCAAACACTACGGTTACCACGCTGAAAGAGAACCAAGAAGGCCAAGCAAGGTACGCAGAAAAGAGAGAACAGGGAAAAGACCTCAAAAAGCATAGATAACCACGCAACTTATGATGCACTCAAAATGTCGGCTCACAGACCAAGTATCGATCGAAAAATCTTCAAAGAAGCACAACACCACGCGTCGCCCCGACGCGTATCGTCGCCAGCGTGAGAGGCGAACTCATCAGGGGGCTTGCTACCATACATCCGCTGACCTACGAGCACCAAGTGTGGTAAGACAGACTCACGTCAAGCCTTAAATACTGGCTACCCTCACTCGTCTATACTTCTCTCTCTCAGAACTTCTTCCACTACTTCTAAATCACGCGGCAGTTGCCACGAGCTACTGGAACTACTCACCCGATTCCTTAAACAAAACGTCTACCCAAGCCGCCTACCTAAGTACAGACCTGTCACGTCTCTGCTCCAAGCGCTCTATATTACTTGATACAAGTCCTCAGTTACTTATCATAGACATAACTGTACTCCTCTAAACATCCCGCCTAACTTTACCAAAAAAACTCCCGGCGAGAACACAGTATTTGGAGATAAACTAAACTAAGAGTCCTTCATTAACCCAAAAACGAAACGTGACTAAAATACAATGCGTCGAATGACGTACCCGGGCGGCAAAGGAACTCAGTATGTTATCACTTCATCTTCTCGTAACTACTACCAACATCCTACTACTTCGATCACCGCGTGAGATAGTAAATCTCCCGGCGAAAACCCAACATTCGGCGAAGGGCTAAACAAGGAGCATACATTGAAAACTCAGACTTGAAAAAGGACGCACAGGGTCGATCGAAGCACCTCAGTAGTGTGGAATTCGAAAGAAAGTCCGAGATACGCAAAATCCAAGGATTTCCCTGCAGTGTGGAATTCAAAAGGGTATGGCAAAAAAGAAGTTCGAAAAACCTCGGAAAATCCTTGGGAGCAGAAAGGGCAAAGAAAGGGATAAAATAAAATAAAATAAAATAAAATAAAATAAAATAAAAACCTAAAAATTAAAATACAATAAATAAAATGACATAAAATACAACAAAAACCATCATTGGGACCGAGAAGCAGGAACATGACTCCGAATACAAAATACAGCATGTACCAGGTACACTCGAGCTGCACCTCTCCTGTCAAATTCCCTTCATATAGAACCTACCCCACTGCCCGAAGCAGAGTACTATATGGTATCGCCAGATACGTGAGGTGAATTCAAAACAGGCCATACACCAATACTAATCGTTTTTTGTACATTTCCTGCTGGCAAAAAAAAAGAAAACGGATCGAATGTACAGATCCGTCTTATCCTACATATTTCAAAACAACGGGGTACTCCGAGGAGAGAAACTCTCTCCAGGGACCACCGCTACTCTAGCACACTTAGCTAGAGCGCTGAGAGAGAGAGAGAGAGAGAGAGAGAGAGAGAGAGAGAGAGAGAGAGAGAGAGAGAGAGAGAAGATAACTAATTATAATTAGAAATTTTCGAAGGAGGCCGATAACCATTATGAACTCATAGTGAACACTGCGAGTGAAGTTGCGGGTTGCCTGTGGACCGGATAAATCCTGCCCACATACCTTAATTCCCTGAAATATTTACAAAACCAACTGCCAGGAGAGAGAGAGAGCGAGCGACCGAGAGAGAGA